CAGTCATAGCTGAGAGAAGATATATATATGTAAACAGTCATAGCTGAGAGAAGATATATATATGTAAACAGTCATAGGTGAGAGAAGATATATATATGTAAACAGTCATAGCTGAGAGAAGATATATATATGTAAACAGTCATAGCTGAGAGAAGATAAAATTAAAGTATAGCAAAGCTACACAACAGGCGATCTGTGCGCTGTCCACCAGGGGGCTGACAATATAAACAGATTAGTGGAAAATCTTTAGAGAGTGACAAGTGTGGTAACCAAAGATTTAATGGATTGAACAACACTTAAATGAATAAAAATTTATTTATTTTATAGACACTGAGAAACTACTCAAAAAATATTTCATATTCTGATCAAAGCAAGTCAACTACGTAGATCAGGACCAAAAACATATCCAATAATGAGCAAATGTAATTAAATCTACTATTCAAACTGTCTTACGCTTAGTTACAAAGATCAGAATGCGTTATTTCATCAGATAGGTACTCTCGTTGTTAAAAATATTACTGGTCGTAAAGCCAGAAGACTTAGGTTAGTCTTAAGTTCATTAATGAGCAAAGGTAATTAAATCTACTATTCAAACTGTCTTACGCTTAGTTACAAAGATTAGAATGTGTTATTTCATCAGATAGGTATTCTCGTTGTTAAAAATATTATTGGTCGTAAAGCCAGAAGACTTAGGTTAGTCTTAAGTTCATTAATGAGCAAAGGTAATTAAATCTACTATTCAAACTGTCTTACGCTTAGTTACAAAGATTAGAATGCGTTATTTCATCAGGTAGGTACTCTCGTTGTTAAAAATATTATTGGTCGTAAAGCCAGAAGACTTAGGTTAGTCTTAGTTCACTAACCTAAAAAAGGTACAATAATAATTATATTTAAAAAAAACGAAACTTAATACGACGTTTGTTTTAGTACAGTCTTAGTTTTTTATACCATTTATACATGCCATTTGCTGTCCAGTCTGTTATTAAGTTTTTCTCGTAATAACAGATTTGATTTATCCCAATATTTCTAACACTACCAGCAACTTCATTTTTTTAAAGTAGTTTTTATTTACTAGAAACATACCTAGCACTAACAAAAGGCCCAAGATGTACAAAATCTTCTTCATTATGACGTCTGATGAAGTCAGTTGAACCACTCGATCTTCTGGTTATTCTTTGCTGGTCCCTATCTCGTCTGTTTGTGGAATCTGGGTCTTATATAAGCCCCGAAACAAGAGTTTCTTCACTTATGACGTGATCCAATTGACGGCAAGGAAAAATTGGCTACAGGCGAGAGAAAACAAGGTTTTGACAAATCAGGTTTCTTGGGGCCACGTCATTCTCCGTTAAGCTTCTTATGTATGTTCCACGAACTGACATATCAGTTCCGAATTTTGGCTAAAATCTTTGTGGGTGGTTTTATCCCTATTACACACTTTTCCTTTCGTGTAGTGATGACTAAAAGTGCTACAAGGTTTCTTGATAATTTATCATTCATGGCTTACAGCTTGGACGTTACCACACCTTACTATACCTCCGTATCGTTAGCCACTCTCAAAGTGCACAACTCATGTTTAATAAGATTTCTGTTGGTTTGTTTCTCAGAATTTTAGTTCAAAGCTACACAAGACCCCCTGTACCGCCACTTTTCCCTGTACACACATGTGAGTTCTCGAAGTGAAAAACACTCCTTCATTTCAAATTTTTGGCTCAAGATTTGCCCCTTCTATTGTAAAAAACACCAATTTTTTACGTCCAAAAAGTGCCCCCCCCTTTTTAAAAAACGTTAACATTTAAAGAAATATACATTACTCAGTACGATTGTAACTCTATCTTCTCTGAGCTATGACTGTTTGTATATATATATATCTTCTCTCAGCTATGACTGTTTACATATATATATATCTTCTCTCAGCTATGACTGTTTACATATATATAAAGTTATTATTTCTTGTCGTTATTGCGTTTAGCAAAGGGTTGTTTTTGTTTGTTTATAGTTATCTGTGCTGTGCCCACCACGGGTATCGAAACCCGGTTTTTAGTGTTATAAACCTTCAGTCTTACCGCTGAGCCACTAGGCGGCTTTATTGAAGGGAAGAAGATTGAACAACAACAAAAAAAAGTATTGTTAAAACTCTGAACAAATTAACAACAAAGTATTGTTAAAACTCTCAACCATTCCAGTATATCTTGAACATGTGCTCAAGACCTGCGAATCTGTAGTGTATAAGAATACCTTTTAAAACACTGGAAGTGCAAAGAACAATAAACGAACTGCTGTTGAACTTATATTCGTCGTACAAGGTACTACTGTACGACTGAATCGATCAAGTAAGTGCTACATGACAAAGACGAGAGGGCAGACCCACGTCTTCGACTTTCCACGTATTGGTTGTCCTGTTTCATTAAATATTACATGTACACGCTGGTGCATTTCTGAAGTTTGTTTAAAACACTGGTTAGTTTACTTACCGGTCTTTGACCTCTCCTCCTCCATCGGTTACTCTAAACTAGGGCAAATTATTGCATGTAAATAAAGGTGATGTATGTAGCGTTACGTTCGTCTGGCCTACATAATCTGTGTGTTTATGTGTGTAAATATGACACATTGTTATAACATGACAAATCTGTTGATATAAAGTGAACCCTAAATTGTGTTTCAAGTCCTAAGTACACATATACAGTGCAAAATAAACGTGTACAGATAACCCCTAGATTTAGTACCCAGTGGTGTCCAAGTTTTAAGTATACATGTACAGATAACCCTAGATGTAATACCCAGTGGTGTCTAGTTTTAAGTATACATGTACAGATAACCCTAGATGTAATACCCAGTGGTGTCCAGTTTTAAGTGTACATGCA